TTTTGCGGATGCGGCGGCGGCCAAGCCACTGCACGCTTGTACAGTAGAATGCTTGTCGTGAGACATCGCAGGGGCGGTGAGGGGAAAAAAGTAGGGATATAGAAGGAGTTCACGGCTTCCTCTGTTTCCCGGCGTCTTTGCAGGTGCGTGCGTGCCTTTCCGTGAGTGGGCTAATTGGACGCGGAAGTCAGTGGCCAGAGTAGCAAGGTGGAAAGCGAAGGAAGCAGAATAAGGGAAAAGAAAATCAAAAAAAAATCAAAGACACATTTGGGGACAATTCCGCGGATACAGCAACTAAAGGAAGTACTTCACTGCCCACGCCCCTGCTTTTGCCCACCTGACTTATCTTTGCTTGTTTTATGGACCGCTTTTTTCCCGTTTTGTTCTGTTTTTTTTTGTTGTTGTTGCTGTCGTGTCTCTCACCTCGTACGTGGTGCCTGTGGTTTTGGCGGCGCCTGACAATTGAGCCTCTCCAGCAAGTGCTATCGTTTATCGATTTGCCCACCTATCAAAATGCAAGCGAATATCTGCCACGTGGTCCTCTTCTGCCTCGACTCGGCGAAGGTGGCGACGCTGCTGCCGGAGGCCGTGCTCCAGCGCCACCTCGGCGGGCTCCGCGGGAGTGTCCCCGGCCTACTGGAGCTGAACTTCGGGCCGGTCGGCACCGACCTCTACCCCGGCTACGTCGACTGCAGCAACGGCTACACACACTGCCTGGTGTCGAAGCACGTGGACGCCGCCCACCTGAAGGTGTACGCCGAGCACCCGGATCACGTTGTCTTCGCCAATCTGCTCAAGTCCTCCTCGGTGAAGCCGCCAATTCGCTGCGACTTTGGGCTGGCTGCCCAGAAGCAGTAGTGCGCACTGCTGGTAATGCAGTTTCGCGTACTTCTATGCACATCAATTGGAAAATAATTAACGGCGGTGTGCGTAATTTAATGGGACGTCCCTGTATTTTCTTCTCTGCGCTGTGCGAATGTTTAGTGGAATTTGCAGCCAGGTAATGAACTGGTGGGAAGGAAGGGAAGAGGGAGGGAAGGAAGGGGCAGCCGGACTTTATTGGGGCTGGGAAAGAAGGAAATGCCGGTACTGCGAAAGAGAAGGAGTAAATACCCGGAAAACGCGAGACATTATTTGTTTCTTTTTTTTTGTTTTGACTCCAGAGCGCCAGCGTGTGTTCGTGTGCTGCGGCTCGTAAAGGCGTACCATCGACGCGGCGCCTCACTTCTGCGCTTCGCTGACGCCTGCGTGCATACGTGCGTGCCTCACTGCCTGCGTTCACTTGCCTTTTCTTTTTTTTTCTTTTTTCTCTTTCTTTTTTCCCTTCTCCCCCTCTCTCCTCGCCGCTGTGCGGCCGCCCCCCCACAACTGCGCGCTCGCCGAAGTCTGGTATATAAGCGGGTGCGACTAACAGCTATCCAGTAGAGATAGAGCTCCGGAGAGATAGGAAGGAAGAGAAGTAACGGAAAAAAGAAGAAAAACAAACAAACAAGGAAAAGGAAAGCATCTTGCTCAGCTCTTGTAATTTTCTTGGGCTTTACTCTTGAAGAAAAGTAGTGAGAAAAGGACTAAATCGTTTTCATCTTTTTTTTCTACTTTTTTTTATTCTCGTTTTTTTTTGTGTTTTTTCTCCTTCACGAAGAAAGCAGACTTCTCGTGCCGCGTGTAGTACCTTCGCCATGCCCTCGGTTATGCGTGTTGTGCTCTTCGAGCTGCGTGACGGGATGGAAAAGGGCAAGATTGAGAGTCTCCTTCAGGCCGCACGCGACGAGATCCCCGGGTTGGTGGAGGTGCACTTCGGGGCGAACAAGTTGCAGTCTACAAAGTTCGACAGCCCATCGAAGAGGAGGTACACGCATGTCCTCGTCTCCCGCCACGAGCAAGAGAAGTCTCTGGAGGAGTACCTCTCACACCCCCGCTACAGGGAGCTCACGCAGTACATTTATTCCTTCTCCGCTGCCCAGGCGACGGCTGTGTGCTTCTACGCCAATGGGCGTCCCCACCTTTAGAAGGGAAGGTCGAGGAGGAAGAGAAAAGCTGCTGAAGCAATAAAGATGGGTGGTAATAAGAAGAAGTGAATTACTTTTTTTCTTTTTTCTTTTTCTTTTATTTTGACGTGTGCGTAAGCAATACTGTGTGTGTGTGTGCTGTGTCCTTTATCCCACTGACACTTGCTGCAAGCGGAGACAATCAACATCGACGTGCGTGCCTGCCTGCTGGGGGGAAGCAGGCGATGTGACAACTGTATAAGGCCCCCTTCCTCCCTCCCTGTGGTGGCAGTCGCTGCGTATGCCCCGCCGCCAGGTACACTTGCGCGCCGCGGGTGCCACAGTGCTGAGGAGATGCAAGCCGCAGGCGTGGGAGGGAGGAGGGGGGGCGAGGTGAAGAGCAAAGCGAATGTGTATACACACGCATCGATGATTTACTCTTTTTATTTTCTTTTGTTGTTGTTGTTGTTTTGTTTTGTTTTTTTATTTTTCTTTTCCATTTTTCCTTCCGAGGGAGGTGGGGGAGGTGTGGTGGTGCCAGAAGGCGCCACGTTGCACGCACCTGAGAGAACTGGAAGCGTGAGCGGCCCAGAGGGTTTAAGAAAGAGAAAAGAAGGGTGGCGGAGGAGGCGGGGAAGAAAAAGAAAAAGAAGGAAGAAAAAGAAAGAAACTCACGGACAAGCAGGCCAGAAGGGGAAAAATAACGACTAGAGGCAATGTGTATATATAAAACAAGAAGCAAAATAATAAAAACATAAAAAATAACATTAAAAAACAAAACAAAACAAAACGAAGAAATCAGAGCGGCGGAGGAGGAAGACTGGCGCGCAGACGATGTGGAGTATTTTGCTGCATCCCCCATCGCCGCCAGCCTGCCGCCCCGCACAAAAGTCGTTATTTCCTTCTCACCGTCTTCCCCGTGAAAGTCAAGGCCACAGCGGTACCTTTTTTTTTTCTTTTTTTTTTTTGCGTGTGTGTGTGTTCCTCTCCTTCCTTTTGTGTCACGCCACTTGGCCCGCCGTGGGGATGGAGAAGAAGAAGCGGCGGCGGCGGGGCGCGTGGCGTTGGGCGCGGGCAAACAAAACGCACACGCACAAAGCGAAGGGAAACAAAAAAACAACAACAACACACACACACATGGAAACCAACAGAGATGCGTGTGTGGACGACGGAGTAACGAAGGAGGAGGTGCTCCTTCCCCGCGGCGCCGCTTTGGGTTTTCTCCGTCCACTGGGTTTTCCTCCCACCCCACCCACCCCTCCCCGCCTGCAAAGACACGTGTTGTCTCGTGTGCCCTGCGCACGCCGCCCCCCCTCAAGAAAAGGCATGGGAGGGAAAAAGGAAAAAGGGGGAAAAAAATCAGCTTGTAGTCAGTAACATTAATGGCTTGTGTACTTTTTTTGCTCATAGCTGGCTTTTGTAGTCGGCACAAAGCGCAATCATGGAATAATATTTGAGCAAATAAACAAAAAAAAGCCTTTTTGAAACGTGGGCGAAAAGAAGTGAGAAGCTAATCTGCGGGGCAATACCTAGCAATAATATGAACTTCTTCTCTTTTTTTTTCTTTTGTTACTTGTAATAGTAATGCAAGGTGTATGGTATGTCCGCATGAAAAATGATGCAAATAAGATTTTTCATTACACTATATATATGTATGTATATATATATATAGCAGTGTGCATTCCTGTATAACGTATGACATTTTCTTCCAAAGTAGGTGGTACATACGGCTATGGCATATATACACGCACATGTATGTGTGTGTATATATATAGATATATGTATATGCGTATATGGCTGTATGCTTATATGCGCTTATTTATTTGCCTTCCTACATTTCATACGTGTCCCTTGCATTCAAGTAACTGAAGGAGTGTAAATGTGGGGAAGCCGCGTATCTGCCGCCGCCTTTATTTCTCTTGGTTTTTTTTGTTTTCTCTCTTTTTTGCAACTGTAAAAAAGAAACCGATTTTGTTAGCTTGTTTTTTTCTTCTTCTTTTTAAGTTGATGAACTTCTTCTTGTTGTAATTGTTTGAATGTAGGGTTGTTGTTGCTTTCACGGTGGAGTCCTTATTGCTCTTGTGGTGGTTGTCGTGGCTCCTTCGAGCTACCTGGACGCTCTTTTGCTTCTTTGCTGCGGAAGCCAAAAAGATAGAGGGTCTCCGCGCCTTTGGGTGTGGTCTGACGGCGACTGGGCCAAGAGGAGGAGGGACTCACTACAGCCGAAGCGTCTACGCAGGCGGAGAAAGAGAAAGCGTCTCTCTCTCTCACTCTCTGTGCGAATACTGTGGAGGAGAGGAGGAGGGGGCGGGGGGAAGGCAGTTCTGGGGCGGCCCCACGTTCCTCCGCCATGGGTGGCCCCCGACTGCTCTTCCACAGGGCGATCCACATCAGCGAGACCAGTGTCTTCTTCACACCCAACAATGAGGCGTCGCTCGACTTTGGGACCGTCAGTAGGGTGCCTAGGGCGCACCGCGACCACGTTCAAAAGCACGGTGTTGTGGCCAAAGTCGTACTGTCCGTTTCAAATCTGGCGTCGCAGAGTGGCACGCTGACGCATGCCGAGCGCCTACGGCTTTGGTGGACGGTGTTGCTGAGCAGCGGAACCGTCGAGACTGACCTCTCGAGCGTCGAGGTCCCCGCCGAATTGGGTGACGCGAAGTGGCCTGTGTTGGACGAGCGCGAGCTTTTAAGGCGCATGGAGGCTGCGGAGGCGCGCGGGCGAGATGGTGCCCTCAGGGAATCTCCCCACGTCGTTCCCGTGCTCTCCGTTAAGCGGTTTGTGCATAAGGATCAGGATAGGAGGGCCATGCTGGGGGTGGTGTGGATGCCGCTCTACAAGCAGAATCTCCTGCACTGGAGTGAAAAACGGCTTCACAGTCAATTTATTCCGGAGCCGTTGCTTGTAACGCTGCTGCGGCAGCTCATCACTGGACTCCTCGCTCTACACGCAAGCACGGGCACATATCTGCCGTATTTAACCATGGAAAATGTTCTTATTAGTCATGAGGAGAATGAGCAGCCAACGTTTCTCTTGGTACCTTTCGTTGCTCAGTTGCTGCGGCTTGAAGACACACCCATGGACTCGCTTATCTCCTTTTCATTTCTTCCACCAGAGTGCTTGACCCAGCCGAGGAGATCGTTGAATAACGCAAGATCGCTCGTGTGGTCACTGGGGATGTTGTTACATCAGCTTGCCTCTGGTGTTCTCAGGAACGGGGCTGCTGTGGTCGGTGCCCGGCATGACTCTATGAGAAAGAAGTTTGAGCGTCCACTGAATCACCCCCTGCTTTCTCCCTCCGATGTTGTGCGGTACGTGCGAAGGGATCTCCAGCGTGGGCCGTACAGCAATATTCTCATTCACCTCATCGTGCTCATGCTTGGACAAGACCCTCGTACTCGCTCTACGCTGCAACTCTTGGACGGCATGTTGTTTGACTTTCTTCGCTACAAGCCCATTGTGCGGTTTCCATTTTCCGTGGGGCCACTGGACCTGCTACGTCTCTCGCATCCAGCGGAGGTGGTGATACACCCACAGCGAAAAAGGTACGTGTTCAAGGCGACCTGTGTAATATGCAAGGTGGAAAGGAATTCTGAGCGGTGCTTGAACGCTGAGCATCTGCTCGGACCCTGCTCACCGCTATGGTCTGGCGACGAAATGCTGCCTGCGTACGTGGTTGAGCGCCCCCACAGCTGCATGACGTACCTCTTCCCGCCAACTGCCAGGCTAGAAGAGCGCAAACAACTTCACTACACGAAGTCTGCCCTACAAAGTGGCGCAATAGACCAAAATGCATTACTGCAACTTTTTGGTGGGTTCGCCGTGGTGCAAATGATGGAAGGTGGGCGACTCATGACTCATGAGGTGCTGGTTCCTACTCCGCACCTGATGCTTCGAAACGAGGAGTTGCGCGGCGTCGCGACGCGGCTGCACTTTACGGCCGCGTTGCCGTGGCCATCTCATTGTACGGCTCAGTTGGAAGTGAGCGGAAGAATCATTCAGGGTGTGCCGACAATGTTTGGGGTCCCGAGCGCATGCTGGTACGCGTGGCTTTTGCCCGGGGAACGTCTTCAGCTGAATGGAAAGGAGTGGATACCGGCGACGGATGGAGGCTTTGTCTTTTGGTTCGACGAAGCGCTGAAGCCCACGGCGTCGGACCGTTACTTCGTCCTATGCGGGATGCGGTCCTTGACGCTGAAGGCAAAGGTGGAGTCCACGGTGCTCCCGGACCTCGTCTTTGACAGAGACGCAAAGGCCTATGAGGCGCAGTTGTTCTACGGCAGCGCGACCGCCCCCGCCGGCATCCCGTCTGGAGAGAAGGAAAACTGGAGCCGGTCGCACTGTGCGGCGTCCCATAAGGCGGCACTACGGCGCCGCAGCATACACGGGGCCACTGTGGAAATTCCCTGGTCAAGTGAAGTGGCTGACCCGTTCAGTGAGGAGGTGCCTGTGCAGCTGGGCCGCTGCGACAAGAAGGGGCCCAAGCCCGCGCCGGAGGAGCGTTCACCGAGCCGCGCACTGCGTCGACTCCGTCCGCTGTCGATGCGGCCTACGCAGCTTCGCGTGGACTCCGTCACGGACGTCAGCCGCAACCCGCTCAAGGAGCGCCAGGTAAACGCTTGTAAACTGCTGCGGGGTCCGGCGTCGACGCCGTCCCCCACGACTGCCTCACAGGGGGAAGAGAAGGAGGAGGATGTTGAGTGGCGGCAGGATTTCTACAAAAGAGCTAAGAGGACTAACCACCGACTTGCGGCGGTGGTGGAAAACAGCCGCCGCGGCCTTGCTTCCGGGGCACAACGCCGACAGGAGAGACCGCCCTTTCCGAGCCAAGCCGTTCCCGGCGGCAGTCAATCCATCGGCAGCGATGACAGCCTTTCCGCCTTTGTGTCCCCCGCGGCGGCCGTCAGCGTCCCTGACGTTGACGTCACTCAACTTCTTAAGTCGCCGCCGGTGGAACCGGGGCGGCAGTCAAGAGGTGACGCGTCTTCGCTAGAGGTGTTTGGCCGTTGGTTTCCACCAAGCTGGGTGGACGCCGTCTTTCAGTCCCTCACGTTTTGCATTCCCGCCACGGGAGAGCATGGGCGTCTTTCGGTGCCGGTGACTGTTTCTGCGGCGATGCGCCTCGCCACACACGCCACCGCGGGGGCGGTGGCAATGGCCTTCTGTACCAATGAGGTTCCCATTATTCGTCGCAACCACCAGCGCTGTGCCAACGCGCTACCGCCGAAGCAACTTAAATGTCTCCTTCCGCACCACGGCTTGGTCTTTTATGACGTTCACAGGGAAGTCGTTGGTCTGCTTGCGTTACGTTTTACCGTGCCAGCTGACCCGAACCTCGCCGCTGGGGAGAAGCGCATTCAGTTTAAGACGCTCCCGCCCACTCCCACGACGCCGACGCGGATGAGTCAATTGAATGCGGGTTACTTCGCCGGAGAAGTGGGGTTTTGCCCGACGAACCAAGCCTGGAGGCACGCCCAAGGAGATGGTTGTGGGTTTTTGCGTCAGTCGCCGAGTAAAAGCTGCGGGACGCCAATGGTCGCTCCTGCGGCGGGTTCGGAGGAGCTGACGTTGTCAGGCATTCAACTATTCCCTTCCCTTGATCCCTCTCCCGCAGTGGGGTCCAGTGACGCGGGGCCTCTTCCGCTCTGCTGGGTGGGCTTTGACCCCTCCACGCAAGCGATGATGTTGGCGGATCTGCGGCAGGATGCGTGGTACCCGCTCTACTTCGCCGTGGATGAATGAGGACGCGGTTGGAGACACGTGTGTGTGGAGGGTGGTAGAGCTAGATGCGGGCGCCTTTGCGTTCGATAGAACATGTTAAAAAAGCAGAAGAAGTTGTTATTGTTTGTGTTCGTTTTATTCCAACTGTATTTTTTTTTTCGGGCAGGGATGAGGCGGGTGAATGACAGACACGGCTGCTGTTGGGCTGTGTTTTGCAGGAAGCTTTGCACACCCGTGCTGCCGTCATTTATTGCGACTATCGGTGCGTGGAATGGAGAAAACTAAAGAAATTATTTGGCCCGTGGCGTGTCCTATCTTTCTCTCTCTCTCTCTCTCTTTGATCGGTTTACTTATTTATTTATTATCGTTACTATTATTTTTCTTCGCCCCTTGTTCCGTTATGTTTGCTTGTTTTTTTTTTTTGTGGTTTTGTGCCTGTGCGTGTGCGTGCGTGCGTGCGGGGGGAGGAGGGAGGGGACGACTGGGGTCCCCCTTATTGCGCACACTCACACACACACACCTCCCCATTCGTCCAAACCTACATGTATACGTGTATCACCATTATATCACTTGTATCTTGTTCATCTCTTTGCTTCACCGAACTTGTGTTGCCTGTCGTCATGTGTCTCTGGTGGCGCACTGCGGCGTGCCGCATTGCAAGTGCGCCTGTGCAACACTTCTGCCTGTGTGGAGGGAGCGGGTGGGGCACTTTGGCCTCGACCGCGTGGGAATCGACACGTGCGCGCCTCAGCGGGGCCGGGGGGGGGGGGTGAATGGCAGTGCCATTTACGGAGGTGAGGCGGTGAACTTATTCGAGGCATGTGCTTACGATGATAAAAGAGGAAGGGAAAAGAAAGAAAAAAAAAGGAAGGAAGAAAGGCGGGAATAGTGTCGCCTGTTGCCGTCCCTCTTCCCCCAAATAGGGCAACGTAAGTAGGTACAGCATGCGCACCCTACCATTGCCGCACCCGCTGAGTGAGTGACTGGGTGTTGACGGCACACGATTCCGTGGCCTTGACGGGACCTCTGTGCCTCCCTTGAAATGCATGTGTGCGTGCGACGTTGGCCTTTATTATTATTGCTGTTGCTTGTTTCCCCACCCCACCCTTTTTTTTTTACTTGTGTTTGTGTGTGGTGTAGAGTGCGTGAAGTACTCTCTCCTGTAGAGTTACACGCCTCTAGAGACATGCGCGTGGGAGCGCCCAGCCGACGGAGTTGTTTTGCATGGGCGCGCAGTCCACTTCCACGGGCACATCGCGGTGACGCTAGTGGATCCCCAGTTGCTTCCACGGGGACACGTGCCTGCGCGACGGCCGCGGGGGCGGTGACGCAGAAGCCTCCTCCGCAGCCTTCACCTGCGCTAACGGCGGCGGAGTTTGCCCAAATTGCGCCGATGGTGTTGCTCCGTCAGGCGCTGCAGCAGCACGCCGTAGCGGGCAGTGGCGTCGGTGTGCGCGGGAACGCGCATCTCATCAGCCGGACGGTGTTTGACCGGCACTGTGCTGAAAGTCACATAGAAGATAGTGACGAGGCCCTGCGGCTCTTGGCGGAGGCCGGCACCGTCGTCCCTATTTCTGGCGGGAAGGAGGTGCATCTGCGGCCGCTGCAGCTTGTGCACATGTACGAAGACCTCGTTGTTGCGGCGGCGGGCCCTTCCTCGGACTTCTTCATTGAGGAAGCCACGCGACGCTTGGAGGCTGCCGAGGCTGACGCCGCGGCGATGAGGCGGGAGCTGCAGCCCGCCGTCGTGCGAGCCGCCAAGTGGCGTCGACGCGTGTGGGGTGCGGCGCTCTGCTTCACAGGGGCCCAGCTGGCCGTGATCTCGCGACTCACCTTCTTTGACCTCGACTGGGACATCATGGAGCCGGTCTCGTACTTCCTTGGGACAGGCACCTCCCTGCTCTTCTTCGGCTACTTCCTCCGGCACGGGCGCTCGCACAGCTACCGGGACTACGATCGCACAAGGCTGCCTGCAAAACTGCGGGAGTATGCGCCGCGTGACTTTGACTGGGACAAGTACGAGGCCATTTGCAACAGGGTCGAGGCGGAACGCCGCATGCTGGCGAGAATCAAAGAGTGGATGAAGCAACACTAACAAGGCTGCCTCTCTCTCCTGCGACTACACCTGAAACTAAACTCTATATATAAAGCTATATATATATATATATAATAAACACTTACGTGTTGATTTGCATGTATGTTTGTGCGATGTTTGTTGTATTTGTTTCTTTTTTGCTTGTTTGTTTATTCGTCTCCCGCGTTTGGTGGCCCTGCCGATGTAGTAAACAACTGCGTCGGTGCACGCTTGCGTGGCGGCGTGGGTGGGAGGTTCAGCCGCCCTCCCCTCCCCTCCCTTTCCTTCCCCGTGCACCCGGACGGGTGCCAACTTTTTGCTCCTCCGTTGCATCTGCGCAACAGGAACGATGCGAAGGCAAGGCCAACAACGTAAAGCGGGAGGGTGGGGGAAAAAAACAAACAAACAAACAAACAACGCAGCTCTTTTTGGGAAGCTTGCTGTTCTTGTCTTCCGTGCTTCCACGCGCCTCGTCCCAACGATCGCGGTGGACCGTCACGGACAAGACACGCGTTCTTTCTTCCTTCTTGCCAGTCCGGGGCCGCCGTGCGTTGCCCGACGGCCAACAGTTGCCGGCTTTCCTCCTCTCTCCGTGTGTGTGTGGCTGCTGCGGTCATCCCCTGCCCCACCGACGATAAAAACGAGCATAAATAATAAAAAGTATTTCGCTCTCTTCCCCCGCACAACACTTGCCTCTCCTGCCAATAAAAAGTGTATACATCAAACAAAGACCGAACACACTTGCTTATTTGCCAAAAGTAAAGCAAAACAAAATATTCAAGTTCAAATTGGGGCGTTTAGTGATTTTAATTCAAGGGCCTTCGTTGCGTCTGTGGGAGGGGTGCATCGCTCTCTTCGTGTGGTTGTCCAAGCAACAACAACAACAACAACAAAGGAGGAGCCACACACACACACACACAGTGAGGGAAAGAGATACGCCACATCCCCATCTATCTACACTTCAAAAAAAAAAAACTTCTATATTGATATAGTTGTATATATATTTACATATAGGTAGATAGATAGACACCCGCATGGAACCAAGTTCGCCTGCCCGTGTAAGGCCTATGGGCAGTTTCAAAAGGACGCGAGGAGCGACAGACGTGGGGGAGAATGAGGGGTCGACGCTGCTGCCCCATCGTCGTGGTAGCATGCGCCCCGTGGGGCGGCGACGGTACGGCGCCACCACCCCCGCGGGGGGGCGCCGGGCCAGCTCCATGCCCGTATTCCGTACTCGCGGCCTCGGCACGGCGCGCCTATCCGTGTCGAAGGGCCGTGAATTAACAGTAAGTGAGCAGACCACGAAACTGGCGGAGGAGGCAAAGAAGACGCTCTTCCATGGAAGCTTTACCTCAAGTCACGGGATGCTGTTCTCTGTGCCGCCCATGCGGCGGCAGGAGAGCGGGGCGCTTTCCCCGGCTCGGCAGCGCACGAGCGCCTCCCAGACGGCAGACGCGGAGCTGCCGCCGGCAAAGAAGGACAAGGCAAGTTACCGTCTCAACCTGGACGTCGTCGCGCCGAGTGCCCTCAAGAAGGAAAAAGCCACACCGCTGCTTGGCGACCGCCAAGGCTCAGCAGCGACTCCCTCATTTATCACCGAGGTTGCTGCGGCACAGCCGCAAGCACGAGCTCCGGAGGCCCCCCTCGGAGCTGCCGGCGCTGTCGTCTCACGCGTCACGGAGACTGGGATTGTAAGGGCGGCGCCAGAGGTCACGAAGTTGAAGCGCGAAAGTGGCGTTTCCGCCTCACTACGGCTGCGCCACTCTAACAGGACTGAGGATTTTGAAGAGAACCTGGCGGTCCTGCAGGATGGGGAAGGCGTGTACGCGACAAAGGCAGATGGGCAACCCGCAAGGGAGCAAGGCGTTGTTGTTCCGCTTATTTTCACTTCACAACCCTCGCCAGATCCCAAGACAAATCTCGAAAAACCCAGTAAGGCGAGTAGCCAACACATTTCTTTTGCTGAGCACGTTATTATCAAGCACGCTGACAGCTCCTCCGATGCCGACGAGCTTGAAGAGACGGAGGAAGAGGGGGAGGTAGAGGTTAGCTATAAGGACGCGTTAATGCACCTTGTGGCCTTTGCTGCTCCAGCTGCTCTGGCCATTGGTTTCACATTCGCCCTTTCTATCGTCCCTCTGGCCTTTATTGGAAGTTACCTCGGTGAGTTAGCTCTTTCCGGGGCCTCAGTTGGCTACTTCATTTTAAGCACCTTTGTGTTATACCCAATGATTGGCATGACGTTTGCCTTGGACACCTTGTGCTCGCACGAATATGGGCGAGACCCAAACAGTCAGGAGTTGGGGCTTCTTTTGCAGCGTGGCATAATCATCAATTTGGTGCTCCTTGTCCCAGTATGTGTGCTGCTGTACAATGTGGATGTTGTCCTTGAACTGGTCTACGGCGCAGCCATCACAAGTGTGGCGAAAGAATTTTTGCACTACATGCCCTTGTTGTTGCTGCCGGTGATAATCTTTAGCGCGTTCAATAAATTCCTCAGCAACCAAATGCGTCCGCATATGCCACTGATTGCGCTAACTGCCGGAATTATTATTACCCCATACGTGCAGATGAAACTCACACCCATGGGAGTACGATACTCCATGGTTGGCATGTGCATTACGGCGTGGTTTCAACTGGCAGTCATCGTCGTCCTGACACTGTACGTTCCGCAGACGAGGCACACCCTCGGGAGCCTGCGTCTCTTGGAGGCCCTAAACCTAGCTGACGTAAAAGGGTACATGGAACTGGCTATTCCAAGTGCCATCTTCGTCGCTGCCGAGGCGTCCTCGTTTGACGTCACAGTTTTGCTGTGCGCCTACTTTGGGGAACAGTCAGGTGCCGCCTGGTCAAGTATTATGAATGTCCTTTTTATTTTTGCCGCGCTGGCGGGTGGTCTGAGTGCCGGCGCGTGTGCCAATATTGGCCGCTGCGTTGGCAGCAATGAGCCAAAGAATGCCCGGAGATACGTGGAAGTTGCCATAGCCGTTGTTTTGGTGCTTAGCGCTATTGATTCCGCCTTGCTGTATACCTTCTTTGACTTTTTTATGGGCCTATTTGGCACCAAGGGCGAAACACTTCAGCTGGCACGTGAGACTCTCCTTCTACTACCGCTCTTCCACACGGCTGATGCGGTGCAGTTCACCTTCCAAGGCATATTTAGTGGGTTGGGTAAAAATCACTTGGGTGCCCTCATCTTGTTACTGTCGCTGTGGGGTGTGGGTATCCCCATGGTGTTTTTCCTTGGTCTGTACCTTCAGTACGGCGTCTTTGGCGTTTGCCTTGGCATGACGATTGGGCTCTGCATTGAGGCCCCGGCGATGGTGCTCACCACCGCCACGATGAACTATCAGTCGGTGTGTGATGCCTTTGTTCTTGCGGAAAACAGTTTCAGCGACGAGGAAGAAGATGAGGAAGACGAAGACGAAGACGAAGAAGACGAAGAAGAGGCTATTTTAATGGGTGATGATGTCTTTCGTCGCTCAGGGATTCCTGTGCGTTCGTCAGACTTTGGTCTGCGACTCGCGGCAGGCGGTCGACGACTGAAGGCGCCACCGCATCGTTTGTCAGGGAGGTAAAAGGGGAATTAGTTTATTGCTTCCCATGCTTTCTTATTACTGTTTGCTTTTCTCTTTGAAGCGTGTGGGAGAGGCGTGTGCCGCGAGGTGCGGTGCAATCAATGCTTCAGCGCCGCGTGCACCTGCCCGGTTTCCTTGTCCAAGGCCTTTTTTTTTCTTTGTTTTCAACCTCGCCATGGCCGGAGGCAGCAGCTGCAGTTTCTTTCCTTCTTTGTTTGTTTGTTTGGATGCTGCTTGAGGCATGGCGGACGTTTTTAATACACATCCCAAGGAATTATGGATGGACGGAGTCGCAGCGCCGCCTTCGTATCGTAGTGGCACGGTTCCGCCGTCTGTGGGGAAGGCAGTGTGGTTTGCACGCACCCCACTTTGGCCGCAGTTCACGGCGGTTTGTCGTTCCCCTGTCGTTGCATGCGCTGCGGGCAGGCCGGATGGATAGCGTGCGTGCCACGGGCGCCCGGCGATTTCCTCGGCGCGGGCGCGGCGACACACGGTTGTTGTGCGCTGCAGCCCTCCCCCCAACACCTCTCTCGTGCAGGCGGAAGCAAGAACCGTTTTTTTTTTTTCTGCCTTGCTGGCATTCGCCGAGGGTTTGCCCGAACGCATTGGTACCTGCACGGGCACTGCTTCGTTGCGGGGTGATGGCTTTGAAGAGGACAGCAGTGCGCCTTGGCGCGTCGCGTGGCAAAACGTCCCCTCGCGGAGTCCGCGTGTCCCACACCACGTGCTGGGCGCTCTGGGTGTTTGCGTCGTGGCGGGCACTGCGGCGACGCCCCTCCTCCTCCTCCTCCTTGCGGATGGGCAGCAGCCTGATGTGCTCTGCCCCTTCTTGCCACTGCAGATTGCGGCATAGCATGCAACCGCAACGAGGCGATAGCCCTTTTTTTCACCGCGAGTGGGCGATGCCCGCGCGTAGCTGCACAAACGCACACAGAGATCTGCGCGGGGATGCGAATGGCGAGGGCAATGCGTGAGAAAAGCAGCATCGCAGTTGTCGTGTGCCCTGCACTGTGCACACATACGCCCCCCTCCTCCTGCGGGGAGGAGCAAACGTCGTCGTGGGCGCGTGGCGGGGCCGCAGAATGCGGTGCAGGACTTTTTTTTTTGGCTGCGCCGGCAGGGGGCGGTGGGCAGAGTGGCGAGACTGCGGTGCAGTGCGGCAGCCCTGCACCGCACCGTGTGGGCTGCGGTGGCCCTCTCTTGCTGCGTGGCTGCGTGGGGTCGTGTATCTCTGTGCACATTTTATTTCTCTTCTCCTCCTCTCATTCTCCTTTTGGCTGGTGGTTGGTGTGCGGCTGCGGCGCAAGACAACAACAACTACAACAACAGAGTACGAAAATCAAGGCAACAAATGCCTGGAAGAAGCGAAGAACAACTTCACGCTGTTGAGGAGAGCGCTGCCAATGATGTGTCACGGGGGCAGCGGCACGCGAGTGCGGAACC